GCCCCAGCCACTCCAAGCCTCTAAAGAAGTTTGGATTTGTACTTTGCAGCTCTGGCTATAAGTCAAAACAATATTTTCACACATCCAAGTATATTAATCAGGGGACTTGTGAAACAAGGAAGGACAGAGAGTTATTAGTTGAAATTCCCAAATGAAGGGACAAATGCTGAAAAAATTCCTCTGCTTTTATCCAACCTCAGATAAGGCAAAATTCTTATGAAGCATCATTAGTTATCTGCTAACTAGTGAAAGATAGTTTTCTACTGCATTCTAGTCCTTAGACTTTCAGTCTGGGTGGCAATGTTGGACCTTTGGCTTTCAGATGCCCAGCCTGGGTTTGCAGGACTAACTTTCAGGACATCTAACCCCGTTTTTATGTTTCAAATGGTGAAGAAGATAATGCTCCTGATTGGAAGTCCTGCTTCTATCCCTGCCAGCTGCCATCTGAGTCCAAAAAAGTAGGATGACCCTCTCCAAACCTGGGTATTGTTAAAGCAGGTGATAGTGAAGATAACAAAGGGGGTTACATGTCATTCTCGCTTATGCAGACTCTTTGCATGCTTGTACTTCTGACCCCAAGATCAAGTTCCAGATAGTGATGTATGCAAAGTTTAGTTATCTTTCAGAGAACCCACCAGAAGCCTAAAACTGAACTTCTGTTTTTCCTTGAGGAAATCCTGTAGCAGCCCTCCTCTGCTACAGTAACTGCAGCTTTGCAGCACCTTTGCTGCAAACAGGCATCAGAGGGATTCATGCTGGTTGTCTGGCCAGCAGGCGAAATGAAACTTCTATGAAGACAGAAAAATCAAGAAGGGGGGTCTGGGAAACGAAAGGATGGACTCTCAGGAACCGTCACCTCCACTGATCCAACAACAGTTTGCCCAGCTGAGGCTTGGTGTGAAGTGTTTACTCATCTGCCTTAGCCCTGGAAAATGAAAAGGAGGTTAAAAATTAATCTGTGCAGCTGGCAACTGCTGGAGTGAGCTGACATGGTGGTGCAAATTCTTTCCAATACCAGGAATGTTATGTAGCAGTGCAGTGACCAGGCATCAGGGTTCACATGTGGTAGCTTGACCCATGAAACTAAAGGCACTACATGACCTTTGTGGAGTTAAGTGCGCCTTTTTGTACTGACCTGTTTAATTTTGGTGATATGAAGGTGTGGGTATCCCCATTCTTCACTGAGACTGTGCCCATCCAGCTACAGTCGGTCTTTCACTCCCAACTGTACTTGCAGAATAATGTGGCATGATGGATATCTTTCCTTTAAATTTGCAAGGCTAGATTTACGAATAGCAGGCTATTTGAGTCATCTGGAAAATTACAGGAACCTTATGGTATATCACCCCTCTTATTAGTGCTCTTAACGCTTGATTTTGGACCATCTCTTACAAAAGGACTTAGCCAAGTGCTGCTGGAATCAACTTTAGGCTGAACCTTGAATTTCAGGCAGATAAAAAAATGAATCCCTGTTAGAAGAGACTGCAGGGGATGGAATCTAAACCTGCTGGGGCTAAACTAACACCAGAAAGTGCTAGCCTGCCACTGCACGAGGCCAGTCTCTAAGTAGTTTGGTAGTTACCTTAACAGCTATAAAAGGTGTAAATCTGTAGAGAGGACAAAAAGAATAAAGAGAGAAACTGCCCTACCTGTCTCCTACTCCACAGGGAATAACACAAGCTACATTCACAGTAACTGATCCTAGTAACTGCTCTAAATGGAGAGGAAAAAGCTGTGGCTGAAATCTCTGTACAAATTACAGGGAGACAAGCTGGTATCTCCAGCTCTCTCTCTCGCTCTCTCTCTCTAAGTCTAATTCTTGTGCTGCACCACTGCTATAGAACTTTAAGGCCCTTTGTATGACATAGTAAATATGGAACTAAACAACTTCATGTACAGGAAGGCCTCTTCAGCAGCACCATGAGGCTATTACTGTGTCCCAGAACAGTACATGCAGTAAGAGTGTGATAGGTGTGTATTGTCTTAAAAAAACCTCTTAGAAGATGAGATGTTTAAGAAGAGGCAAGAGACTTTTTTATATGTGATTATGTGCTCACACCCTGAGCAGATGGCTCCTGGGGCAGAGGGAGCAGTTTTTTTGCTTGCCACAATCCAACCTGGTCTTTAGAGCACAGGAGAATAAAGCTGAAACATTTCAGACACTCAGAGCGTATCACGTGGGGCCATTAGGGCAGGATTAAATAAACATAATTAGAGAAACTCCTTCTGAAAGATGGTTCCGCTAAGGGATTCGAGTGCACACCTATTCTGTGCCCTGCTTGAAGTCCTAATGCTGCTCCACTGCTAGAAGCAAATGCCTTTTGAAGGCAGCTCAGAGCCACCGAGCAGTCGCTTAGCTTTATAGTTTGCGAGCTGCATGTCATCTTTGAAGGCTGGGAAATTGCAGAGGCAGTACCGTGATTCCCAGCCGAGTGAAGCAGACACTTGACACATTTCATCCCTTGCAATTAAGGCAGAAAAGCAGAAACGGAAAAAATTCAAGCAGCATTTTAGCAACAGGCCACTCCCTTATCAAGATGAACTACAAGCATCACCAACAGATATATGCAGGACTGGTGCTAAGCACAGACAGTAATAAATGCAGGCGAACTTTGCATGAGAAAGCCTCACACTTAGAAGACTTCGTTTATTGCTCTTAGTCATTTACACACATCCTTCTAAAGCGAAGAAGCTCAAACATAATCAAACCCTGTGTGCAAATTACCAAGTCAAATGCTGTTGTTCTGTTCTGTTCTCTTTTAATATCAGAGCACATACTTCCCAGTGCAAAAATACAATCTTGTGATAAAATGACTAATACATGACTAAAGCCATTTTCCATTGTTCAGGCATAGCTCTGGGGATCATTTGTTTTTCATGGTAGATCCCTCAGACAGTGAATTCCTCTGGTGGTTGGGATTATATTAATGACCAGGACTGTTAGTCACCTCAAGGGAGCTGAAATAGGATGCCACTCTGGTTGCCATTATTAATTCCAACTGCAGGTGTGAAAATTAATTTCATGGGTATTTTTATAATTTCCTTTTAGTTAAGGATTAGAGTTTCCAAATGACCCAGACTCCGGATGGAGACAAATTTGAACCGAGTCTGCCCAGCACCCCCATAACAGTGAACCAATTCTGATGGAGTAGGAGGAAATAAATAGACTTTCTATCCCTCACATGGTGAAGACAATGACACTGAAAGATATCAGATGTCATAACGACATACATTTCTTTGCACCAAGACTGTGTAAAGCAATCCAGTAAATTGCAGGTTGTTTTTATTTCTGTAGAAGAATAACACATTTGCCAATTGTGGGAGAAAAAAGAAGTTAAATATATCAAACCAAATCAAATGTAGCTGATTAGAAAGCTACAGTTTCCATTTGCTGGCACGGGTACTGTTTTCACATAGATTTTCTGACAGATGCTGCTATATCACCATACTCAAGAAGACAGATCCAGCAGCCAAGCTCCTGCCACAGAACTCAAACCTGGCATCCTTAATCATAGGTGGAGTTGGGCTATTGAATTTGGGGAATGGGAGGGGAATGCTGGGATGGGAGCTGGCTTACCTTGGCTGGAGAGGGCAAGAGTTGGAGTCATCTGGATCCATTATGGAGGGACAGACTGGGAAGGGGGAAACACCTCCCCACTCACCCCCCTCCCCTCCCCATTTCTGCCCATGATTAAGCTTCAACTCCTGCCAGTTCAACTGGCGAAGGTGTTGGTTCCAGACCTGTCCTGTATTCCACTGACACCTCCTCCTGCCAGAGCCTAATGAGTAATGCTCAGAAGATAAGCAGGTTAGGCCAGATTCAGTCAGATAATTAAAGGTTGGAGGTAACGTAAGATCCTTGTGTATGTACAGCTCATCCGGGGTTTTGGTTTATAACTCGTTGTGCTCATAACCACCTTTCATCCGACAGCTCTCCTCATGTCTGAAGCATCTTTGCCGTGTGGGCAAGCACTCTGTCTGCCCCGAGATGGACAGGGACCAACAGAGGTCCTGCCCGGGGGTGCAGGGCTCGGAGCTCCCTCCTTGTCTGTGCCGCAGTCACCAGCCCTCCATCCATCTCCAAGTGTCCCTTCTTAGTGCTGCCGTGCAAAGTTTTTATGGCCCGATCCCTCTCCCCCTGCACGCCCCGGAGCCGTTTCTATCAGCGCCACCCGGGTGCACAGCGGGGGAAAAGCTGCCGCTTGGAATTGGCTTCGCTTTTACACCTCCCTCCCTGCGCCCAGAGTGACCCTCCCCGCACAGAGCTGCCAGAGCCGCGGGGCTCGACGCCAGCCCTCCTGTGTTATAATGAACCTTTTTAGGTCATGTAAGCCAAGAACCTTGGGCTGCTAAAGACCCCATCAGTTACTTAAAGCAGTTATCGTATTTTACTGTTTACAGGGAATAAGTCCAGAGCGTGGCGCTCAGCCCATCGCATGCAGCGCAGTTTATCACCAAAAATTAATGAGTTTGTGCCATCTCACACTTCAAGACATTAAATCACAGATTTGCTTAAAATTTACTGAAGTTCACAGGTTTTAATAAAGACCATCTCAACCTTCGCAGTTACACGTCAAAACATCATGTCAGAATCGTGCCCTCCTCACCACTTACTGAAGGATGATTTTAAGAAAGAGATAGCATATAAAAATCACTTATTTTTTCCTGCTGCCACTGCAACCATTCTTACTGTTGAAACAACTTAATGCAGAGTACAAAGGGAGAAAAGCAGCAATAATTTTTTCTGAGTTCAAATAGATACAAATGCAGCGTGCATATTACAGGACACCAGGAGGGCTCAGATACATAACATTAATGTAATCGCTTTATTCTCTTCCTTAACTAATGCTAGTTTTCTGCTTCTGTAGAGTTTTCAGATTAATTTGTGCAGGAGTTTTTACCAGGTTCTCCATTTACCCACTTCAGCTAAATTCAGAGCAAACACCACATTGTATAGCTGAACATGATCACCCAAGTTATAAATGATAAATCCCACCATAAAGCTTGATAAAAATCTTTATTGCCATTTCAGTTTTTATTTCTTTTAAATAAATAGGGTTTATAGCATCAAAAATGTCTTCATTGATTTTTACATTTGGGCAAAAGCTGTTCATGACAATTAGTAAACTAGGACATGCATCATGAAACAAGCACAGTGCAAATCTGGTGACACCAACCTTCAGCCACGTCTTAAGAGTCACTTGCAGCTTTTCAGTCGCACCTCTGTGCTGTCTTCCCTCGAGGTAGAGAAACTGCTTCTGGATCATACAAAGTTATTTGGAGTATTTCTAGCAATTTATGAACGTTATAAGAGAGCAATGAAAATATTCTGACTGCTAAAAAGCCGTCACTTCATTAGGACTCAGGGCAGACAGAGCAAACTCACGCACTCAGGTGTAGCATCGATGCTGCGTCTTCCACATAGTGACTGTCAGGCACTTCCAGGGGAATAAAATCGAAGCAGCTGCTAAAACCTCACAATTTCTAGAGCTAAAACACAAGCCCTCTTGGATTCAACACAAAAGCAACCAAGATGTGTGTTTAAGCCTGACTTTTCAAGCTACTTTTTTTCTAATATAGCAGTAGAAACTGTACAGACAAATGAAAATAGGTTGCATATTCAGGGTCTGTGCAGAATGGTCAAATAGGAGACTGTATAGGAAAATAAAACAATTTTTTTTCTCCCCTTTTACACAGTTTTGAAATGCAGCAAGTCTGGCGGATTCGGTAACACTAATACAAAACTGGAAAGTGAACAGAGAGGGGAAGCAAGTTTCATTAACAGAGAGAATTCTACATAAAATATACTGGAGCTGATGGAGGAAAGGAAGAGACAGCCAAGATGTTCAGCTGCAAGTGGAGTCCAATTTGATGCTCAGCGTGAGTTTAAAGGGAAGATTTTCTCAGCCTTAAAATAAAAGAGCAGTATTGGATGCGTATGGGGCAGAAAACTGTCGTCACAGAAATGGATTGTACCGGGCTCGCGAAAAGCGAGAGTGGCAAAAGTAGCTCATTTTGCTGTGCTACATTTATAGATGTGCTCATTTCAATGCTCCCAGGAGGACCAGCTTTATGCGTCCAGACAAAATTACACAGGCGTCCTACCACGCCATACCACGATGATAAACCTCGAGCGTAAAGGAGACCCACCACAGGTTTCCTGGGAATTTTGCCTCTGAATTTTGGGGAGCGGACCTGATTTCCTGCCAGCAGATCTATGCTTGCTTTCATTTCTTGTAGGATCAGCCCTCTGACATGAACAAATTGCTAACATCAAGGACCTGATCCTGCTTCCACTGAAATCAATACAAGTTTTGTCATTGGTTTCAATGGGATCAAGGATTCAATCCCACTGTTTTTGAAGTCAATAGGGTTGGGGTTTTCTCTGAATAAGCAAGGCTGTGTTAGTACTGCAGAATGGGCCTAAATTATATTGATTATTTGGATGTAAAACCAAGCATAAAAATAGGATTAAGTGAAAAAGGGAAATGTATGAGAAAGTGAGTGTAGAGCAGCATCCATTCATGGCATGCAGCGGGTCAGCAGGAGCAACACCAGAGCAAAGGCTGCAGTGGCACAGCACCAGTGAGAAAAGTCCATCGGAAAATACCGGGGGGAAGAAAGACAAAATTCACTGTGGAGAGCCTTTCTTCATCTGCTCCTTCTAAAGCAAACGTTTGAGTCACTCACCCTTTATTAAAAATAAACAAAACATTGACAGAAGAAATTATTGTCACATATACACACAGAGTAATTGATTCTGCTTCTTCACTGCTGCTTCTTTTCCCTCTTCTCAGATACGGGGTTGTTCTGTGTTTCTGCAACAACTACTGGCAAATCAGAATTTATTGTACATATGTTTGTGTTCCACTTAATAAAAAATATACTTATATTTTCAGATAAACTTTGTTAGTAATTCATGAGGTAAGTGACTATTTATGCTAATAAGGGAGAAATATATTCTCAAGCATTATGCATTACATAAATTTGAATGCAAAATGTTCAATTATGAAGTAAATACAGGTAATGCAAATAGTAAATTACATCCAATAAAAATATATAAAGAATGTGTCTTCAAAGAGAGAGAGGCTTTTATTTGCGTCTGTGAGTTGTTTAAAGAGAAAAGAATTAATAAATACTGAATTACTCTTATGATGATTTAGCTCATAATTCACCAATCCATAACGACTCCCAGTAATCAGACTGTTGTTTCATACCCTCCAATATAAGGCAGGACTGTTTCCTCAGCAATTTTATCCCTACCAGATTATCTCGTCTGATTCTATTAATTCTCTCCCATAAATCTGCTAACAGTGATATGTGATTTACTTACCCTGTTAACTGATCTGAAGACTGTTAAAAGGATTTATCTAGCACTGCACCTAGGAGCAGTTTATGCCTTATCACTCTGCTACTCCGAAGAAGTCTTTCTGAAATCAATTTGGCTGGTTTCGTAGTTAAATTCAGCGGACACTGTTTAGTTCTGCACCATAAAATAAGACACTAGATAAACAAAAGGAGCAGTAACTGTACTTAATGTGTTGGCCTTGATATGTGTTTAAGTTATAACAAATTACACCCTGAGTCCATATAACACAGAACCTGCACGTTCGTTTCTGCTCAGTCTCGTGTGTTGGGTATAGACACACACGCACGCACACTCCAGCGGTGGAAGTTCCTGCCTCAGCTGCTGGCGTGCTCAGCGCAGGCCGACCCCAGTGGATTTGGAGTTAATGTTTCACGTCCCCCCTGCACGATCTGTCAGAAAACTCTCCCACAATAAATATACATTAGTTTGGAGGCTTATGAACCAGGTCAGCGGCACACTGGGAGCAAGAAGGGCTCCACGGTACGTCGTCGAACAGAGATGCTTAAAAACAAGCCAGAGCAAGAGGCTGTGAGAGGGATGGTGGGGTTTTCCCTCTGCCTGGCTCAGGGCAGGATTGTTACAAACAGTGCTGGGAAAAAGGAGCAGTCTGAGGGAATTGGCCTGCGATAATTGTGGAAAAACTGAAGACTGAATAGCTCTAATTGAAATGAAAGTGTGTGATTGTTATGGAAGAAACACTGTTAATAGAGGACTGTAAATGTTTAGACACCCATTGTGAATAGCCAAATAATAAAGAAAAATACTACTAAAATGCGAATTATATAGTGTAGGGAGGAGAATGTTGCTTCTGAAGGTTATCCAAAAATTGCTAATAATCTTTTTTTCTCTGCTGTGCTGAACAGTAGAGACATTTTGGTGCAGCAGTTCTGTGTAACAATCACACAAGAACAATATTGTACAACTAATAATTTTACTCGCTGTTCTGGTAGGTCAGAGCTTCAATTAATTTGCAGCACTTGCTTACATTGGTATCAATTAAGAGACGGTCCCCATTAGCTCACACAATTTCATACTCTTTGTCTAGAGTTCAGAGTTTACTCAGGAAATTTACTCGTTTGCAAATGTAGCACTTTGAATCCTCACATCCAAACAAACTATTTTATGGGGCTGGAGCCTCATTTCCACAGCCTTCTACCACACGGGCAAGGGAAATACTACAACTGTACATTCTGAAATGCCATAACCTTTTCATTTAAAAATATTAGCACACATAAATGTCTCTCATAGGTGAGCATGTTAAGTGATATACAGTGCCACATTCATCTTGCTCTGGTAAAAAACAAATACAGGGAATTGGACTGTCCTGAGGGGATTTATGCTGTGAGCCTGGAAGTTCTGTTGATTCCAGCAAAGCGAAGAAATAGGAAAGCCAGCCCAAGTAGTTAACTTGTATTAACTTTGTCATGAATCGCAGTCTGTAAGATAAAGCCAGCAGATGTCCACGGCTCTGTGTGTGCGGGTGTGTTTTGGGACCGTGCAGAATTGTTATTTTAATTTTGTTAGAGATGTTGGTAGCATTTTTTTATCTTTACAGAATTGCCACTATGATCATTTCTAGATGCGGTTATCTTCCTAAATTTGCAGTATGCCCTACCCCTTTTAGCTGCCAGGAACAGTACATGCTGTATGACTTTCAGATGTTAGTACTGGCACTCACACTGATAATGGCATAGTCAGAAGATGTTATCCATTCGTAAATCCACTCGCCAAGTGCTATTTCCTAAGCAGAGATTCTTTGGCTATTGCAAATGATGATTTTCACAGTTGGTGAAAAATCACCCAGAGCCTTGCCCGCACCTACAGAGTGATACCCTGAGTGGGGTTATAAATAGCGAACACCGAGGGGGAAGGGACCGGGCATGGGGAGAAGGGAGGATTTGAAGTACAATGTTCAAGAAGCAGGTTTAATATATGACCAAGTGTCAGAAGTCAGGTTTCTGAGAATTACTTTTCAGATAAACAACTTTATAGCACCGCACTTAATCTTACTTACTAGAGACATCTCATTTATCACGGAATTACAAGTAACTTTAATTCTATCGATATTCCCATAAAGCCCGGTCGGAAAACCGAGACTGGCAGCCCGGGAGGCTGCGGGTCTCCCCGGCCCCGCGGCGGGTGCAGCCGGGACCGGGCGGGACCGCGGCGGCTGCGGAGGCGGCGCCGCCCCGACGGGGGGCCCGTCCCGTCCCGTCCTGTCCCGTCCCCGCGCTGGCCCGGCCGCTCGGCACTGACCTGTGGACGAGAGATGGCGCTGTCGAGGTTCGAACCGAAGCCGCTCCGCTCCTCTCCAGCCGCTGCCGCTCCACGGCCCCCGGCCCGGCCCCAGCCCCCTCCCGGAGGGGAAAGGGGGACAGGAGGGAGGGGGTGAGGTGGGGGGTGATGAGGAGACGAAAGTAAATACAATTAGTTCTAAATGTATTAAATTAATTAGCCCGGGCAGGCAAGCCGAGTGCGGCGCCGGGAGAGGTGTGGGGGGGAGCGGCGCGGGTCTTGCAAACTTGCGGGGCTCTCGCACCTCCGGGCGGGCTGGGGAGGGGAACGGAGGGATCGATGCCCCGTCCCCCTACCGAAATAATCAATAAGTGCGCGGGGCGCTGCGGGGGAGCGGAGCGATGGCCCGCGGCCGGCACGGGGGAAGGGCCGCCCGCCCGCTCGCAGGTACCGGCGCCGGGCACGGCGGAACCCGCTCTGCCCCCGCGCCGCCCGCTCCCCCCCGGGCGCTGCCGGGTTCCCCTTGGGCCGCCGCGCCCGGCGCTCCCCCTTCCTCCCTCCTCCCGGCCGGCCGGAGCTCCCCCGCGCCCTCGGGTGCCGGTGCGGGCGGGCAGGGGCAGCTCCCGGGCACTCCGCCCCGGGGCAGGGCGCTCGCCCGGTGCGGCGCGGGAGGAGCGGCCCGGCGGGTGCCCCGTCCCGTGCCGAGCCGTGCCCAGGCGCGGCCCCGGCGGCCAGGAGGGGGTTAAGCGGGCGCTGACAGTCAGCTGAGCCCTGACTGACAGCCCGGAAAGTTTCCCTGTCGCTATACTCCTATGCTAATGAGCCCGGGCGGCGGGCGCCCATTGGCCCAGCCCCGAGCCCGTGTCCCGTGTGACGTCAGGGGCGCTATAAAACCCCGCAATGCTTTAAACTCTCCTGCCGGATCAAACCTTTAAATATTTTTCATCTTCTTGCTGTAGCTTTGAGGCCGACTTGTTGTGTTGTTTTTTTTTTTTTTCTCTCTCTCTCCTTTTTTTTTTTTTTTTGTTTTTAACTCTTCTAATTATTGTTATTATTATTTTGGTTGCGATACAGACTGATTTTTTTTTAAATTTTTTTTCGCCTTTGCTCTCTCTCCCTCCTCCCTCCCCCGATGAACCTCTCTCTTCGCTCTGCACTTTGCACGAGAGAGCCCAGAGGAAAGGCACCATGAAGTGTTAAAAATAACAAAACAAAACAACAACAACAAATTTACTCGCAACAACACCAGCTAACACTTCCAGCTGCGGTTCGCGAGCTGCGAAAGAGAGCGAGAGGAGAGAGAGAAGGGAGGGAGAGAGGAGGAAAAAAAAAAAACCCTCTATGCAAAAGGCGAATAGCGAGAGCCCCGCGCTCTGATGCATCAGCGGAGCCTCTGCGAGGGATAACGCGGAGCGGGAGCGGAGCCGCCGGGGCGGACCGGAGCGGAGGCAGAGCAGGAGAGCGGAGCGGAGCTCGCCAAAAATCAAGCTGGCTCACCCGGTGGCGACTCAGAGCAGCCCCCTCGCTCCCGGAGCGCACCCTTTCTGGAGGACTCTCGGCAGCAAAAGGATGGCATCAGAGCTGGCGATGAGCAGCTCCGACCTGCCCACCAGTCCCCTGGCCATGGAATATGTTAATGACTTCGATCTGATGAAGTTTGAAGTGAAAAAGGAGCCGGTGGAGACCGATCGCATTATCAGCCAGTGCGGCCGCCTGATCGCCGGGGGATCGCTCTCCTCCACCCCGATGAGCACGCCCTGCAGCTCCGTGCCCCCGTCCCCCAGCTTCTCGGCGCCCAGCCCCGGCTCCGGCTCCGACCAGAAGACCCACCTGGAAGACTACTACTGGATGACGGGGTACCCGCAGCAGCTCAACCCGGAGGCGCTGGGCTTCAGCCCCGAGGACGCGGTGGAGGCGCTGATCAACAGCAGCCACCACCCGCTGCCCGGCGCCTTCGATGGCTATGCTAGAGGGCAGCAGCTGGCCGCGGCCGCCGGCGGCTCCGTGCCGGCCGAGGAGATGGGCTCGGCGGCCGCCGTGGTGTCGGCGGTGATCGCCGCGGCGGCGGCGCAGGGCGGCGCGCCCCACTACCACCACCACCACCACCACCCGCACCACGGCGGCGGCGGCGGCGGCGGCGGCGGCGGCGGGCACCCCCACGCCGCGGCGCCGGGCAGCGCGCCGCCCTCCTCCGCCTCCTCGGCCGCCGGCTCCGGCTCCGGCGGCGGCGGCGGCGGCGGCGGCGCCGGGGGGCTGCACCACCCGCACCACGGCGGCGGCGGCGGCGGCGGCGGCGGCCTCCACTTCGACGACCGCTTCTCCGACGAGCAGCTGGTGACCATGTCGGTGCGGGAGCTGAACCGGCAGCTGCGGGGCGTCAGCAAGGAAGAGGTGATCCGGCTGAAGCAGAAGAGGAGGACCCTCAAAAACAGGGGCTATGCCCAGTCCTGCCGCTTCAAGAGGGTCCAGCAGCGGCACGTCCTGGAGTCGGAGAAGAACCAGCTGCTGCAGCAAGTGGAGCACCTAAAGCAGGAGATCTCCAGGCTGGTCCGGGAGAGGGACGCCTACAAGGAAAAGTACGAGAAGCTGGTCAGCAATGGCTTCAGAGAAAACGGATCCAGCAGCGACAACCCTTCCTCTCCAGAGTTTTTCATGTGAGTTCCCACAGCCTTGCCACCTTAACTAAAAGTTCTCCGTGTGAGTTGTTGTTGGGGGCTTTGCTAGAGCCACAACCCCGCTTGCCACCTTCTATTACTTTTTTTTTTAAAAAAAAAAAAAAAAACAAACTCAATTTTAAAACAAAGTTGTTTTTTGGGTTGATTTCTGTTGTTTTTTGTTTTTTTTTCTTTTTTAAGGTGGGCTGGCTCCGTGTTGGCCAACCTAAAGTTCTACATGAGTTTCCTTTCTGTTTATTATTATTATTATTATTTTTTATTTTTGTGGGGGCTTGCTGTTGTGTTTTTTTTTTAATTTGAAAGATTCAACTCGCCACCAACTCAGTTCTTCATATGAAGCTTGCTCTTCTTTGAAACCTGCCATCCACATTATATATATATATTTTTAAGTTCATGAGGGTTTTTTTTCTTTTGAGCTTGCTGTGTCCAAAAAGTCATATTTTTTTTTTTGCCATCCTGAGTTCTTCATATGAGATTTGAGCTTTGCAAAAAGAAAAATAAAATAAAAAAATAAAAAAAAAAACAAACAAAAAAATAAAAAATATACAAAAAACAATGTGAAATTTTTAGACTCCAGCTTGCTGAGTTCCATCAGTTTTTAGCGTTGTTGTGCAAAACTAGAGATATGCCTAGATCAACCTGCCAAAATCAAGCCTGCATCAACCTTCGGTGTGTTCATGTGAGTTTTGGCCTTAATCTGCCAAACGTGAGACTTTAGTCTGCCATTAGAATCCCATACTCATCTCATGCATTACGCTTGCTATTTTGTCTTAGCAACAATGAACTATAACTGTTTCAAAAGACTATGAAAAAGAGACATTATATTAATAAAAAACCCTGCATGCTGGTCATGTACGGTATAATTATTTTTTTTTTCTTTTGCTTGGAAATGGACTTTTGGAGACTATTATGGCATGGCATTCATCCTTTTGTTTTATTGCCTCATCACTTTTTTGGGTTGAAAGCAAAAAAGTGCAACCTTTGATCTTCCTCCTCCTCTTCCTCCCCATTAAAGTTTGCATCTGCTCTAAAACTGCTTTGAGTTACTCAAAACTTCAGACTTCCTTTTAAATGCACTGAAGCATTCCCTCTCAAAAAACCTGCCAGAATGGATTTTGATAACCTAATGTGGCAAAAAAAAGTACTAAAAAAAAAAACAAACACAGAAAGAACTTTGGAAAGGTGTTCAAAAACAGAAGTCACATCCCACTTGGGGGGGACATTGAAACCATGCTGTTGCCTAAAAACAGTCTAAAATTAATTTTAAGTGATCTGCCCCATTTTTTTTTCCTTTTGCATTTGGTCATTGTCAAATGTGGAATGCTCTGGGTTCCTAGTATATAATTTAATTCTAGTTTCTGTCATCTGTTAGCCCAGTTAAAATGTATGCTACAGATAAAGGAATGTTATAGATAAATTCGAAAGAGTTAGGTCTGTTTAGATGTAGATTTTTTTTTTAAAGATTGATGCACTAAATTGTTTACTGTCGTGATGTAAAGGGGGGTAGAATTTGCAACGGGACTGTTTTAAAAAGTAGTTTATGCAGCATGTGCTTGCAACTTAAATATAAGTTGGGTATATGTAGTCCTTGCTATACCACTGACTGTATTTGAAAACCAAAGTATTAAAAGGGGGAGGCACCCCTGTTTATATCTATAGGGGTATTTTACATTAAAAATGTATGGGTTGTTTTTTTTTTTTTTTTTCAAAATTGAAGTATTTGGGACTGAATTGCACTAAGATATAACCTGCAAGCATATAATACAAAAACAACAAAAAAAAATTACGAACCTGTTTAGAACGCTAATACAATTTATGCAGTTATAAAGATGGCATTACTGCACAGTTTTAAAATGATGCAGATTTTTTTACAGTTGTATTGTGGTGCAGAACTGGATTTTCTGTAACTTCAAAAATTCCACAGTTTTAAAGGCAATAATCAGTAAATTTTATTTTCAGGGACTGATATCCTGTCTTTTAAAAAAAAAAATGGAAAGTAAATCTTACCACAATAAATATAAAAAAATCTTGTCAGTTACTTTTTCTTTTACATATTTTGCTGTGCAAAATTGTTTTATATCTTGAGTTACTAACTAACCACGTGTGATGTTCCTATGTGCTTTTCTTTCATTTTCAACTCTATGGTTATATCAAAAGAGAGAATAATCTACAATAATAAACTGCATTTTTTTGATTCCGTACTCAGTTTCTTAGTCTGTAGTTTAAAGTTCAATAACTCCGAGCGCAGCACTTCAGCGTGCTGCCTGCCGAAGGGGCGATGCTGATCCAAGAGCTGGGCTCAATAACCAGGAGGGCAGAAGGAAAAGGATAGCTTTGTGTAAAATGGACAATTGTCACCTGCTAGAAATCAAGTTGTTCTTTCAGGCAGTTGAAAAACGTGAGCTTTCAGGTGCTGCTTCTGACTTCTCAGTAGTGCAGTGAGCTCAGTTTCAGTGACTCAGATCATCCCACCAAGTTTTAGGAGATCTCAAAGGGGAGGTCTGCTTAAAAACCTGATGACATGATATGGCCCTGTATTTTGATTGTTTTATGATGGAGTGAAATGAAAGGGAAGACTTCACATCCTCTTATCATCTGATCCCAGCTAAGCATACCTGTTTCTAGTAAGAGATGACACCACATCAGGCATGGCTTGTCACAGAACCACTTAATGCTAGATCGCAAGATTTCTTGACATTTTGGTCCATACTGCCTCCTTTTTTTCTGTTCTTTGCTTTTTTACCCCTCTTTTTTGTTTTGTTTGCCCTGTGGGTTTTTCTTTTTTCTTTTTTTTTTTTTTTTTTTTTTTGTTTTGTTTGGGGTTTGGTGTTTTTTTTTTTTTTGGGGGTTTTTTTTTTGGTTTTTTTTGCTACAGGCCTTGGAAAGCCCAGAGAGAGCTAAGGAGCAGAAAAAAAAAAAAAAAATCCAAAGGACTTCCTCCAACTTTTGAGAGTTATTTGTTCTAAACAATCAATCCCAAAGGTTAATGTGCTAGAAACATTCAGGTCTCTGAGCGATCCTCTCTTCACTGCAGTTCTCCATGTCAAAGGGCATTTTGACATGAAAGGCTCCTCAAACTCTTGACCCAGTTTGTTTAAAGCCACCTTTCCCTGAGAGCCTCCAGTGTCCATTCGCAGAGTCCGCTCCTGCTCTTGGAATGGGATTATCTGCCCAGTTTATGTGAGAGGCAGAGGCCTCTCCAAAGGATGCTCCAGCCTCTCCAGGACGGGGCGTTTATCTCCAGACCCAGGCTCATAAACCCAACTTTTTTTTTTTTCCCCTTTGTATTTTTTACCCCCTGCTGTTGATGCAACTCTTTCCCAGCTGTGAGGTCATCCCTCCTGGGTGCTGGTGGCACTGAAGGGAGAGAACCTGTTGCCGTTCCTCTGTCCAGCTGGTCCAGCCGCTGTTGAGGGTCGAGGTGCCAAGGTTGAGGTGAGGCTCTGAGCCCCCCTGCAGCACCTGCACCCACAAGAGCCTGTGTCAGTGGGCACTGGGTGCTGCTGGAGGTCAGTCTTTTCCTGCTGAGGTCCCTTTGGAGGGGATGGACACCGGCCTCTCTGTTGGTAACAGCAGGTGTTGGTGGCTGTGGTCCCCGATGCCGATGCTGTGTCTCACCCCTCCCCAGCGCCGGGGCACCAACCTGCCCTTTGGCATCTGACCTGCTGTTGCACCAGGGTTTGAGTAATGGTTCAAGCTCCAGATTCTGGTTAATTTGAGTTCCATTTTCTAGTTAATGTGTAATCTGTGGGTAAACTGGTTGCTATTGGCCGGGCAGGGAATTATCTCCTCTCATAAAGACAAGGCTGCTCATTATTTTGTCTCCCACCTCCCGTTCCCTGACTGAGCCTTTACCAATGCCCAGGTTTTTTCACAGGGGCTCACTTAGAAGCTTTACTGCTGCCCTTGCTGAGAGCTCCCAAAGGAGCCCTGTCCTAAGGAAGGGAAGGGACAAGGCCTGTCCTCAGCAAAGCCCCCGCTGAAGCAGCGCTGCAGCTCCCGAGGGAGCACGGAGCCCAAAGCCGTCCAGAGCAGGACCCACTTTTGGTCCAGCCTCATCCCTCCACTCCCCTGTCACTTTGGGCTTCCTTACAGGCAAATTCAGGAGCAAGCAATAGGGTTTTAGAAGTATTGTGAATTGACTGAGTAGTGAAGATCAAGGAGAGCACTTCTGCCTCCCTGAAGTATCTTCTTTCTTGGAGGAAAAAAAGAAAAAGCACCCTATTTAAACAGTGATAAGAGAAACCCTTCCTAGAAACAGACTTCCAAGAATAGGGAGCAAAAGGGAAAATTCCCATCACACACTCAAATTGAGAGGGAAAAAAGGCTTTCTCCCAGTCTGGCGTCATTACAACAATCTTGTGCTGCAAATTAAAAAACAAAGAAAAAAAATGCAACCTTCCTTAGGCTGCACTTGAATTTCTGCCTGAAACACGCCAACTGGCCAGCTGAAGGGGGGAAAAAAATAGGTGCACATTTTAATATTCACTAAAGTGAAGTGAGTATTGGGGTTCTGTGTATGAATCATTGCAGGGGAGCGCCCACCTTTGCCGCAGGACTGCTTGCTGAGGACTAATTGGAACCGCTCTGCTCTGAATAACCTACATTCATTAATCACCCCTTGCTTGACTCTGGCCTCAATCCTGCTCCCATTGAACTCGAAGGTACAATCCCTGGGGATTTCAAAGGAGAGCAGGATCCTACTCTTCTCCCACAGGTACCTCTCTGGCTAAAGCAGGGGGAGTGCTGCCCGAGCCAGGCAATCGTGTGTCAGAAGGTGTGCATGGTCTCAATCTCCCCATCCTCTTTTTCCCAGAGTCCTATAGTGCTTTCCCATTTATTAACTACATTACAAAGAACTTTCATGTGACCGGTGCTGGGAGATACGTGCACAGAGAGCAGTCCTTTGCTGGCTGGGGATGGTGTGCAACTGTGGTGCAGCCCCTCTTCCCTCCCCAGCCCACCTTGCCCTTAAGAAT